ATTTTGAGTTTCTGCTAGTGATTTCTATGGAGAAAAATCACTTCCTGCCCTCCGGCTGCATTTCGCGAGTCATCAGAATCACGTGATTGCAAACAACCTATGTGATGTGACAGCAGTTTTATTGCATTCATTATTATTATTTACTTATTTGAGGTGCACGAGTGGGAACTGTGTTAGAATGCCCATTGCCCAGTGAGGCTGAAAACGCATGATGTCTTCTCGACATGATGTAAACACACTAACTAGCGGAAGTGTTTGTGGGCAGGTCAGAGTGTTCGTGTTTCGCGGGCAGGCGGGGATTATGCAAATGTGTTACCTTGTGACGTATATAGGTAACAGGCAGAAGCAGGGCCGGACTGGGACGCAATTTCAGGCCGGGAAATCTCACACTCATTCAGGCATACAGACAACCCTATTATTTGTATGGCCATCACATAAAAAGGTCTAAATCCTTAGCCGTGGAAAATAATTAAAGGTTGTCTCTTGAACTGCACCTCCATGTCCCTTTTCTACATTTTCCCCAATATCTCTGTCTCTTCCTTTTTTTTCTTGTACCTGTCACTTCTTCACCAGCAGGTCACTTTGTCCTTGTTGCAAAACAACCACCTCTTCGCAATATTTGTTAGCACAGAATATTGTTATTTATCTTAAAATGACTTAAATACCCTAGATTTAACAAACCTATATTTCATACAAATATATTAAAACACATTTTCTAAAGTGCCTAAATGTCTAAATTAGTGGGCGGCATTTATTGAAAAAGCATAATACTGAACACACTATTGCATTATTAGGCTGTAACTCATATTATTGGTGTGTTGCTGACTGCTCTAGCTCCCTACCTACATATAATTTATTAATGTAACTTTACAATCGATAATGATGTTCTTTAGCACAGTATTCTGACTGATGATAATAATGGGGTGCTCCTAACATGTGATAGCAGTTTAATAGCTACTCAACTAGGTTAGTAAAGACAAAACTACAGTAGCGTAGGCTATTTACAGATGAAACTGACCTGCACTTCAATCCTTGAACAGGTCAGTAATCTCGCTACATTTCACTGCTTCTTCTGGATGCTTCCTCTCCTTCCTCGAGTCCCGCACATTGATTACTCTGTTCGAAACCGTTTGACGGGAGCTAAAGGCTGACCGATTTATGATTTATTATCGAATGACAAAATCGGAAATGATCACTTAGGTACATTGGGAAGGCAAAAATATAAAATATAAAATATTAAAAAAATAAAAAATAAAAAACGGGGAAGTGGGCCAAATCTCCCGGTGCCCCCGATGGCCAATCCGGGCCTGGGCAGAAGATTCGAAAACATGACGACTCGTTAAGGCGGTTCAGAGTCGACTCTTTCTTTTGAGAGACAATATCTTTATTTATGATGCACTTTTCTGATTAACAACTTTTCAGACTCTTTACAATGAAGGATAGCTATGTTACAAACTGCAAAAAATATATTTTTTGAAAACCCATATGACCTGCTCTTTAATGTAAGAACCAATAGGAGGAACTAAAGCCATAAGATATCTGTGCTTGGAAGTATAGGCTTGGATGCTTTAAGTAGATTCTTGTTTTTTTTATTATATGTAAAATAAAAATTTTACTTGATGAATAAGGAGCTTCAACGCCTGTCTAATAGTGACAAGGCAACTTTGGACCATTTCACTATACAGACAGCACACAGTATGATGCAAGAGCTTGAAGAGGAAAAGGAAGAGGCTAAGAGCTTGGCATCAAAAGCGGTTACGGGACATCAGTCAGGACAGTGCTTATGGGATTTACATTTAAAACACTATGTAAGGCTGAGGGAGAGAGCTTCTCCAATAATCATGTATGTTCATAAAAGCATGAAAATATCATAAACAGACATTGCCACTGGAACATGTGTACTGGCCCTTAACATGCATCCAAGCTTCAATTCTGAGATGAGAATGACATATAAATATGGTAAATGAAGAGACACAATATCGAATCTGAGAGGTCACAGGTTTTGATCAGGAAGAAATGTTACACTGACCTTTTGCTCCACACGCAGAAAGTTGCCGAGTTCCTCTGCGGTCAGGTGATCCTTCTTCTCACTGAAGCACATGAGCAGCAGATAGAGGTCTCGCCTTAACGACATCATCTTATAGAAGACAGTGAACTCCTCAAACGTCAGTGTTCCCTGCTGGTCATCAGTGTCTGCTTCCTGTGAACACATGCAGAGAAAGAGCAAAGATACATAATGGGTTTCAAAGCTTTGAAGAGAAAATATCCTTAAATGCCTTTACTATAATTACTACTACTACAATCGTTATGCATAAAAGGAAGATTAGCTTAAAATATAAAATAAAAAATTTTCTCATCATGCCTGTTCTATGATCATAGTATAAATAGACCTTTTTGAACAACAGTCTCAGTTTAAGTGAAAAGTCTTCATTTTGTCATCCTCCATCTCTCTCTGTCACAATTCTCCATCTCTCTTTTACTGTCAAAACTACTACTGCTCAGTATTAGCTCAAGTTCAATGTCTTTCACGTGAGAGAGTGCAGGAGATACATTGACAGGGATATAAACCGCTGCTTCAACAGAGCCACGCTGAGGTGAGATGTGGAACTGCAGCATGGAATGTTGGAGCGTATAGCCTTCTGTATATTATATTCGTATGTACTCGTGTTAATTTCGTTAACGAAGACTATGACGAAAAATGTTCGTTGACGAGCTTTCTTCCCATGACTAAGACGAGAAGACGACAAGACGACAATAAGGTCAATAAACGATAACTAAGACTATATCAACATGCAATTTCTTTGACGAAATAAGACGAGACTAAAATGTATTCAAAAAGATAAAAACTTTACCAAAAACCTCTTTTTATTTTAGTCAAAAAAGGAGACAAAATGTTATTGCAGACTGCTCTACACGCCACTACTACGCGAGCTCTCATTAGTGCGGTTGGCAGATATCAAGAGTGTGTTTTGCTTATTTTAAGCAATCTGGCAACCATGCGATGATCACCAGATGATCTGAAAAACAAACAAGCTGAAGTTTAGCGATCTAAATGAAAGCGTCATTCAGCCAGTCAGTGTTCTGTCATGATATCTCACTCTATTGTTTGCGATTGTGATCGCTGAATAAATACACTTACTCAATCGCTGTTGTTTTAATAGAGAAATAGACTATTGCAATTATGGAATTAGTGGAATTACTAGGAATTTCTCTGTTGCATGACGAAAATGTGACTAAGATTTGACTAAAACCTTACTAAAATGCTCATACATTTCATTGAATAAACAAAAACAGCACAAGTTTGTCTAAATATGATAACTAAAATGTACATTTGAGTAAGACTAAGACTAAATAAAAAATGGCTGCCAAAATTAATACTGCTGTACGGTTAATTAATAATAATCTTATTGCTAAAATGTCACGTTTTCATTTATTAAAACTAGACTAAAAACGGAGATACAACTTTCAAGACCTTAATCATAAGGTGCAATATAGAAGACAATGGTGTTAGCACAGCTATACTCAACAAATAGTACAAAGAAAACAATGAGATGTTTAAAATTATAATTTGTACCTTGCCTAGAGGGAACAGCCTGAGCCTGATTAAATCACACTTTCTACAAAGCAAGGGAAATACTGACTGAATTTCACGAGACTTATCAACATATCAGACACCATTTACATTAAAAGGACAGTTCACCCCCCAAAAAAAATCTCTCATCCCAAAAATGATCTCCAAAAATTCACTCATCCTCATGCCTTTGTTTTCTTAGATTAACATAAACCAAGACATTTAGAAAAAATAATCAATCTCTGTGAGCTTATATAATGCAAGTTTACAGGTTCCCAAATAGTGAAGCTACAAGAAGTACATGCAGCCATCATGATGGTAATCCATACAACTACCAGTGCATGAATCAATGTCTTCTGAAGCAAAACGATAGGTCTGTGCAAGAAAAATACTAAAATTTTAAACTTGTTTAACTATAAACCATCACTCTCGGCCACCTGTCGTACATGGTTTTAATGAGGGTCGAGTTTACATTTGACATAAACGTAAGCTCACTTCTCCCGTGAACTTCAAATTGTGTTTATATGAACTCACAGAGAGGGATTATATCACTAAAAATCTTAATTTGCATTCACCTGAAGAAAGAAAGTCACATACATCTGATGACTAAATGAAAACGTCTCATTTTTGGGTGTCCTGTCCCTTTAAGGCTTCCACTTTTCCAGTCTTCCCCACATACCTGGAACATCTGTTTGACTTTCCTGCGAGGCAAGTTGACGTTCAACTTGTGTAAAAGCTGGTAGATCTCTTCAATGTTCAGAAGACCATCTCCATTCTTATCAGCCTCCTCGAAGGTCTGCTTCATCCACTTACAGCAAGGTTAAGAGAAAAGACCACCAGGGAAAAAGCTGGACAACACAGAATCAAGTTACACTGTGACATGTGTGACAAATGGTTTTCAGGATGGCAACACAGTGCAAACAGAAAAAGTCATCACAAAATGAAAGTGTTGTATGCTTTTCATTTCTGGGTGGTCTGTCTCTTTAAACGAAACCTAATTAGGAACATTATTATCTATATTACTTTTCTGCCTGTGCACATCAGGAGTGGATGAGCTCATCATTCTCTCTTCTCAGAGCTGTAACACAATTAGCTCTAATGCACAACTAAGAGAATCTCATAGCTGACAAACACACAGTAAGGACACGCAAGGTTTCTTGTGAGTGCAAGTGTGCATTTTCATTGATTTTTCATGAAAAATGGCCATCCTGACAGTTGAAATAAGCAAAGCTCTGTTTTAATGTGTCAGCCCATCTGTTGAGTGCGATTGGGCTGCTTTATTTGTCTCATAAAGTGAATAGGTCCCGAGTTATGATATGTTGAAAACAAAGAGCTGGATCTCAATCCAATTAGAGGGCAAATGCATGATATTCAAGATATTTATGTGTGGATAATAAATTTCTTTATGTAATACTGTATGTAATTCTAATAAATTTGATGAATTCTGATACATTTTCATGAAATACTGTAGATCATCTATACTGTGGAAGAAGTAAAGTCTGGTTTTATGAAGTATGACAGTTGGCAGAAAACCTGTGATGGATGTAATTACAGGCAGGAAAGAGGCAGCGCTTCTGTGACTGAAAAGAAAACAGAGACTACTTGGAAGGGTCTGCAGACAAGGGACAGACTTTGAAAGTCATCCAAATATAGCGGTCAATTCAGGTAACAGCGGCGCGATTAGTAAGGCTAATCAGAGGGGCATTAACATTTAACCAGAGCTGTATGAAGCAGAATATCTGTATTATATTACATGTCATTTAATGTTAATCTGTTTTCTTTGATCTATTAAGCATGTCTTGTACAGCGGGTGTGAGTGGGTAAATTTCTATGCTTGTGTTCCTGTGTGTGATAGAAATATCTGGCTGTTTTTAGGGCACGCTAAAAATATAGATTTTCAAAATTTCAAGATCAATCTTTTACACTGTGAGTGTCCTGCTTTTTCAGCCATATTTTACAGGTTTGCAGCCTGAAATGAATGTGGAAAGATATAAAAAAAAATGGTGTGTACCACAAAATAATGGCACATAATAATGTTCTCATGGGCTGTACACAGTAGCATGCAAGGAAGTCAGATTCACAAACAAACAAAGCATTTTCATTCGTTGTACTTAATCAAAAGCATACAGAGCAAACAATGTAACAAGTGACTTTTCACTCAAAAACGAATCACTCAAAAAGACTCATGAGTTAGTTTGAATCACTCTGATGAATTCTTCACTGAATGAACACTGAATCAGAGTGATCAGAGCGGTTAATGAATCAAATAAGTTACTGAAGAAATGCAATTTGAAGATTATTTTAAACTTCAGTTTTAATAACTGAATCAAAATCAGGATTTGCGAATTGGAATCTAATTAAATTCGGAAATGAGTATCAATCCCCAGACTTACGGTCTCAAGGTGCGGACATTTCACATTAACAATTTTGCAGGCAAAAAGGTTCATTGTCTATATTCAATAGTATAGCAATGTATGAAGCACTGCTCACAAGTCACTTTCAAACATATGGAAGTAAAATAATGACAAATGTCTTTGAAACAAAAAAGCATGTTGAATTGCACTAACTGAAAAAATAATGCATTGCATTAACAGTGCTTGCATTTTTATGCCTTGTATTTTCAGGGCTTGCATTTTTAGGGGCTGCAATTTAACATCGTTGTTTATTTAAGCTGTCAATATTTCAATTCAAAACATTTCACACACATTTTCATAATTAAAAATTAAATAATTCATATTCACTTTCCAGAGTTCACTTCCAAAATATTCAATCTGTTTAAAATATGATGTATAATATTCAACAGGCAATTTTCAGTCCATTTTATTTCACTTTACAAATTCGCTTCCACTGATTCAGTGGTTCAAATTCGGCAGAAAATTCAGCATTGCACATCCAGGAGCTGCAGGAATAGCAGTAGAGTACTGGTGCATGATCTGCATCTGCTGTTAGTCGCACACCAGCAGGTGGCGCAAGACCAAAGCAACAGGTAGAGCAAGTCATTAGGGCCTTTCGCACCGCTTTAGTTCCAGAACTAAATGTACAGTACTAAAGTACTGGGACGATTTTGCGCGAACTATTTCCCAGTACTGCTGGTTAGACCCTGCTCTGGAGTAGGAGCTAATTTGGTTCTCGAAAAAGGCAGTCCGGTACTAAAATCGCACCTAGTTCCGGCGGTGCGAACGCCAAAAAGTGCGTAGTTCCACAATTAGTTCTGGTACTATGAAAAGGTTCCCGCGGTGCGAAAGGCCCTATTCATTCACAGAAACTGATTTGCAGAAATGGAGCAAGCGGTAAGTTATGATTATCAGGGCCAGTATGTGTATGCGGAAAAGCTGATTAAGACTCAAAAGCTGTGTTTGCATTTAATTCAGCATCTTCGCTGTTACTCGTTTCCCCGTGTAGCCACATGTAAGCAGATTTCTCTACCAAAGGAGATTATAATGCTATTTTACCCAACGCTGATATACAGAGCTAACAATACATCTAAGATATTCATTTCGGTTGCTTAGTTTCCTTAACTTTATATCATGACTTGTGTGACGCTGAGTTGTAATCACTGATCTTTATATAAAGAAGTGAATTTGTAAAGTGAAATAAAATGGACTGAAAATTGCCTGTCGAATATTAAGGTGAATATAAATTATTGAATTTTTAATTATGAAAATGTGTGTGAAATATTTTGAATTGAAATATTGACGGCTTAAATAAACAACAATGTTAAATTTCAGCCCCTAAAAATGCAAGCCCTGTTAATGCAAGGCATTATTTTTTCACTGCAAAGTGCAATCTAACTGCAATTTTCACAGTGCAATCTAACATGCTTTTTTGTTTCGAAGACTTTTGTCAGTATTTTACTTCCATACAAACCAAGCCAAACTAAGTTGTTGATCACTGTGGCAAATCACGTCAATTTGGATTACGCCTGTGAAAATTTGGAGGACAACAATAACTGTGACCTGTGTTTGTGCATGAGTTGCCCATCTTATAGTCCACCAAGTCTCACACCATCCTCAATCTGAAGACAGTTTAAAGTCTAAAAATACTTTAGGATTGCTCTCTTCTGCTCGTCTGGTTCCTCCAAGATTGTGTTTTTAAAACAAAGGGCACTGGAATCTCTTTATGCACAACAATAAAACGGGTCACAGTTGAACTGGCGTCTAGATTGAAAGCATAAGTGAAATTACCAGCGGCCATATGCTGTGTTTCTACTGTTATGGAGGATTATAATGACTGCCTCCTGATGACTCACGCCTCTTTAATGAGAATAACAGACATAAACATAAGGGAGGAGAGGATGAGCAGCTCTGGCTTTTTAGCTCCTCTTCCTCTAAGGCTGGTCCTTTCATGTGAGGCTGTGCTTCTGTAAGAACTCCCTGCAGAGGAAGTCTCCCTGAAGCAGTGAACTGCTCACAGGCAGACTGACTCAAAGAGCTCACACTATCTCCCTCTTTGTACATCTCTCTCTCTTTTGAAAAATCGGTCTAAATCAATCAGTCAAAATTGATCACAAATCGTTCCTTCCCTCTCTGCTTCCATCTATTTATCCAAAAATGTATTCAACTTCTCCTCAATCCCTCCATCAAATGATTAGTTCAGCCAAAAATGAAAATTATGTTCTGTTCTATTGAATTCTGAATGTCAAAGCTGCTCTTTTACATACAACGAAGGCAGTGACAAAAACAAATCACCATAAAAGTAGTCTATATGAATTGTGTGCTCTTTTTGAAGTCCTTCAAAGCCATATTATAGTTTTGTGTGAGGAACTATGTGCAATTTAATAATAATAACAATAATAATAATACAGGTAGGTGCTTTACATAGCAATAAATAAATAAAAAAAATAATTTGTAAACAAATTAATACTTATTTTCAGCAAGGAAGCATTATCTTGATCAAAAACAACAGTAAAGACCTTTAAAAAAAATAATAATTAAATATATGAATTGTGTGCTCTTTTTGAAGTCCTTCAAAGCCATATTATAGTTTTGTGTGAGGAACTATGTGCAATTTAATAATAATAACAATAATAATAATACAGGTAGGTGCTTTACATAGCAATAAATAAATAAAAAAAATAATTTGTAAACAAATTAATACTTATTTTCAGCAAGGAAGCATTATCTTGATCAAAAACAACAGTAAAGACCTTTAAAAAAAATAATAATTAAAAAAAAATATATATATATATATAATAAATTTTGTTCTTTTGAACTTCCTGTTCATCAAAAAAATGTATCATGATGTCTGCAAAACTATTAAGCAGCACAACTGTTATTAACACTGATAATAAATGGTTCTTGAGCACCAGATCAGCATATTAGAATGATTTCTGAAGAATTATGTGACAGTAAGAATGGCTACTGAAAATTCTGCACTGCCATCACAGGTAAAAATTACATTTTAAAATATATTAAAATAGAAAACTTAAAATTGTCAAATTAAAATTGTTATTTTAAATTGTAATAACATTTCATAATATTACTGTTTTTTCTGCATTTTTGATCGAAGAAATGCATCAAAGAAATCTTGGTGAGCAAAAAAATCTTCCTTCAAAAAAAATTCTAAATTCTTACTCGCCTGAAACTTTTGAAAAGTAGCGTATATAATTGAAAATATGCATTTGTTGCATGGAAAAGAGCAGCTTGAACATTTCTCAAAACAACTCCTTTCGTGGTCCCCAGGAAAAACAACATGGAGATGAGTAAATGTAATAAATGCATCCATCTGTCCATCATCCATCTTGCAGTAAAGGATATTGGTCATGTGTGCGCTGTCTCTTGGCTAGCGAATCCTCATCACTGATACCGGCCATCAGATATCGGAGTCCGGTCACCCATGTCCGCGCTTCCTCTGCATTTGAGGTAACCAAGTCTAGAGATTCCATGTGGTTGCCGTGGTAAATAGTGAAACAACAGCTCGGATCAAAGTTCCCTTCCGCATGGCGATGGAAAATGTCAGACTGACGACCTTCTGTGACCTTGTAGAGTGAGTCGATGGTGACTGCAAGGGAGAGAGAAAAGAGAACATGATCTTTGAACCCCTGAAACAATGAGCCATTAGCTATGGATGACCAACACGCAGAGATACTTTCATTAGCAAAAGCCTTGCCAGCAGCGATCTGACCCATATTACTCCACTACAATAAAAGATTTGCTTGGGTGAACAGTTTAATTTAAAATGAAATGAACAGAAACTGAAGTGGAAATGTGTTCATGATAATTATCCGATTCTGTAACTGAATAAAGAATTATTTGGAGTGGCAAAATGTGACAGTTATCACCCCTACTTCCCCATCTTCCTCATGTCTGTCTCTCTTTTCACTTTTAAAGCATTGGACCTTAACGATATGTAATTAGATTTCAGCACTATTTCCTCCCAGTGCCTTTTGCTCTCTGTTGCTCTCATTATTAGTCACAATTTCTTTGGTTTCCCATAAGGGAATCCAGGCTTTGGTGTTGGCAGCCGAGTGTTTGTTGTGTTGCTTTACATGAAAGCACAATTCTTGACAGCCTCTGCAGGCACTGAGTGCTTTCTGTCCACTTCAGTCTTATCAACATCTAAACCCAAACCAGTCTTTCAGCAGTTCCCTTTCAAAGGGATATTTCACACCAACAAGAAAATTCTGTCTTTTTTACACAACCACATGTCATTTCAAACTCATACAGTATGCTGTTATTATTTCTGTGAAACACAAAAGTAGAATTTTTCAGTTCATAGTGACCACAGCTGTCAGGCTCCTGAAAGTAGCACCATAAAAGTGTCATAAAACCACTTGTGTATCTTTATTCCAAGTCTTCCGAATCTATTTAAAAGCTTTGTGTGAGGAACAGGAGCTGATAGTAAACTATTATGTCACCTTTAATGAAGCAAATAAAAAAAATAAAAAATAAAAAGATATTCTTGTGTAAAGTAAGTAAGATTAACCATGAATAATGAATTCAATAGTATAGTTCACCCAAAAATCTAAATTCTTGTATCGTTCCAAACAGTGTGACTTACTTTCTTTTGATGAACCAAATAGTTCTCCTGACCATTGACTTCAATTATAAAAAAAAATAATAATAATAATAATAAAAACAACAGACATTTTTCAGAATATCTTAATTTATGTTACACAGAAAAAAAAAAAAAGAAAGTCATACAGTCTTGGAACGACATCAGGGTGAGTAAATGATAACATACTTGTCATTTTTGGTTCTAATATCCTTTTAGATTTCAGTATGAAGACTCTACAGAAAAATTTATTTTTGTGTTTCACTGAAAAAAATAATATCAGCATTCGGGTTTGGAATTACATGAGCAGAATATAAAATGTCAGCATTTTTTTTTATTTCTGAATGAGCTACTCCTTTAACACAGATCTTTAACACTTCCTGTTATGATAATAATCTTATCAAACAGCTCTGTGTGTGTTCTGGAAAGCCAAGTAACATCAAAGCCATTGATTCTGGTGCTGATCCCTTAACCTGACAATGAGCTGGGCACAATCTGTCTTTTTTTTTTAATTATGCAAATGGACTAACAAAGAGGCTTATCTTATGAGAGCAGTTCACAAACATGACAGTGGCAAAATAGAGAGAAGGTGGGGAGAAAGTGGGTGAGATGGAGGGGACAATAGCACTTGAGCTTTTTTTTAACCATAGTGTGCAATAATCCACCCATCTGGGCTAGGTCAGATCAGCTCTGTTAACAAAAGCCTAAAGTGAATATGGAGAGGAGCGAACAGGATTTATTTCCAGCACACTAACAGAACGTTCTTCCAGGGAAAAAAGGAGCACTTATGCAGAATTCACTTCACCCAAACAAGCAGAGTAGAGCGCAGACACAGATGGTGAGAGAGTGGTGTGTTTCTGGAAGCCCCTGGCCTGTGATTCATACACAGCCATTATGTAAGAGAGGAGAGCTGCGCTCTGACACTCAACATATCAGAATCTACATGGGCTGCTTTGATGGGGAAGCAGAAGGGAGCAAGTAATACACAGAGATTATAAAGAGGGGGAGGAAAAGAGAAAGGGAGAGCGAGCGAACAAGAAAAAGACATCAAGAAAGTGACAGAGAAAGAGATCAGTAAACCACAGATGTGGAACACATTGAACGCAGATTGTTTCTGACTCTGATTTGTCACTAGCTGTTTCCATTAATAGGGAATTTAATACAAGTAAAGAAAAAAAAAATCGGAATATCGCAAAAACAGACTGCAAATGAAGTAGAGCTTCCACTGCATGTTTTCTAGAGAACAAAACTCGGGGGGGAAACTAGAGCAAAAGAGGAAAGGAAAACTTCTGACTTTTTGAGGCCTAGTCATATGACTTTGATGCACAACTATGAAATTTATTTAGTAAATGTGTTTGCATTTCATTTTGTTTTTATGCACATTTGGACATTTTATGTGCATCTTGTTCCATACAGTATTTCCTGCAATTAATGCTTGCTATTTAAAATGTTTAATTGACTTTTGTTCTTAAATAACTGTGCTAGCTTCCTCTTTCTCATTTCACTCCATTTTCTTATCCTCATATAAGATCATTTTAACTGAAATCAATATTTCTAAATATGTTAATTTATTTATTTAGTAAGTAGTTCAATTAAAGTTAAATTAGATCAAATTAGGGTTGGGAATCGAAAATCGATTCCGATTCCAGAATCGGATACTTATGGTCAGGGATCGAGCTAAATATAATATCTGTGATAGCTAAACATGTTGCAGGAGAAGTGTCACCACCAACATGACAAAGCACTTTAAAAGATTTTTAATAGATCGTTAAATATTGCGAACACGATTCAAACACCAACGTGATTCTATTCCTAAATTACAATGATTCGTCTGTTTCATTCCTCAACCTTTCAATGTTGTGATCACTTGGTTCATCCGTGCAGCGTACGATCACACCAGTGTGATTTGAACATTTAAATCTGCGTCCGCGCAGCCATTGTCCTAAAGAGAGCAGCTGTCATCTGTCATGAATGAAACAGCTTCAGTCTTTTCAGCCACACAGTATCATTATTTCGGTCAAATCACAGAAGTACTGGGATAAAAGTTTATAGTTCAGATATAAACTGTGTACAATGTGTACGGTAGCAATTAAAATAGATTAAATCACCTTCTGAAAGTAATTTGACACTTCAAATGAAGGTTTATTTTCATGGTGTAACGATTACATTGTTACACCAGTAGGTGGCGAAAAGGGGCTGTTAAAATGTATTTGTCTTTGAATCATACAAGAGATTCATTCAAGAACGCTGATTCATTCATTCATTCATTTTTATGTAGCCTGTTGATTTTTGTTCATGGTATTCAGGTATTCAGAATCAGAATCGGAATTGATAAAATTAAAATGATAACCAACCCTAAGTAAAATTCCTGATCACTCTGTCAAGGTTTATTTTCAGATGACTGCACATCCCAGTGTTATTTTATAATTTATAGTTTTAATTTTATTTTAAGATTTAGTAATTTAGTGCTTTTTAAATTTCGATTTAGTTCTTTTTTTATTTCAGTCTTATAGTTTTAGTAATGTTAGCATTTCAACTTAACCTATTTCAGTTAGATGTTACGACAACATTTCTTACAGTTTTTTTTATTTATTTCAGCTTTATTTCAATTAACAAAAATTAAACAATTAACAATTTTTTTAATAATTTCAGTTTTTAGTTAACAATAACAAAACTGCATCATCATTTACATATATTAAACAAAATCTTTCAGCTGTGTATATTGTTATGCTTACATACATTTCTGTGTGTTTGACTTACTCTTGGCTTTCTCACTCTTGCGAGACGGTCTCCAGCGGATACAGGAACGATGTTCATCCAAATAGAAGAGCCGGACCAGACCTTTAGAACCGTTCTTCAGCTTCACCATCTGAGTCCCCGACTGCATCACACTCATGCATCGCTCAACTGTGAGTACAAAATAAACACATGCATAAACATTGAGTGGGCTGACGCACACTTAAACTGCGAGGTGAAAATGTAAAATGGCATAAAAATGGATTCTGTCACTACAAATAAGTAACAGTTGACGGATGGAGGCTATAAATTGACCGATAACAGCACTATGGATATTTTTAGATAGTGTGACGATGGGCGTCATTTTAATTGTGACACATGAAGAGCAGTTATGGAGCACACTGAGTAGAGGGATATGACAAAATTAGATAACTGTCAGGGTTTGCACAATTACAACCAAAGCAAAAAAAAAAAAACTAATTTGAAGAAGGTTCAGGAACCCTGCTGAAAATTTGGAGAGGCCTGCTAGAAGTCCAACAAAAGCCAAAATGATGCAACACAGCAGAGGCTGCCTGCAACCCAGTTCATCTTCTTGACTGAGTGAGATGGCAACTCCCTGTCCTAAAGGGCCACTGGGACCAATCAGCTGACATATCTGAAGGTCTCTAAATAATACTTCTGCCGCGGCTGAGGCTGGCTCACTGCAAAACAGAGCTGCAAAGACAAGCTCAAGAGGAGAACATGTGCATGTGTGTATGCGGCATGGTTGCTTTTCCTTCTAAATCACTTTGCACCGTGACACCCAGTTCATCTACTCCATCAGAGTAGATGGTGAAACATTCACAATACTCTCAAGCACTACTTTATGCTGTCAGTGTGATTTCAGGGTGAAGTCGCCAAGGAGAATTGAAAATGTGAAATCGAGCAGATAATGCTGTTTTGTACGTGAAGCACATGTATGTTCTCCATCTGACACGATCGAAGCGGGGTGGCCTGAGGGGGTGGTGGGAGGAAGAAGCTCTCGGATGATATAAAGCGAAAAATGGAATGTGATATCGACAAGTGATCTATACAGGAGACAAATGAAATGAATACACTGTTTCCAAACAAAGAGCAACTTAATTGTTCGGTTCACACCAAAAGGAAAACACAACATAAATAAATAAAAAATTACCATATATATATATATAAAACAAAAAAAGTATATTGTCACAAAAAAAAGAAAATTGTCATCATTTTTTCACAAACCTGTATGATTTTCTTTCTTTTGTGGAAAATACAAGGACATTAACTGAAATGAATGAAGAATAAAGTGGATGTTATATGTGCTCAGTGTTGTTGTTGTTAGCTAAAATCAAAACTATTAAGAATTGTTTTTGTTAATTGAAATAAATTTGAAACTTTATCAACTAAAACATATTATAGATGAAAAGAAAGAAAGAAATTTGAAATTAAAATAACTTACAAAAAAATAATCAAAATATTACAAAAGCACATAGCAAAATGACTCAAACGTAAAATACAATTAATGTGTGTATTTTAATGCATGTATTTTACATCTGATATATTACATCATATGATAATTTTGTGTGACAAACAGATTGAAATATAAATCATTATCCACTGAAAATTTACATTTAGAAAAAAATCCCCCAACACCCCCTCCCCATGTTAGATCAACATGAGGGTGAGTAAATTACTACCGAAAAAAAAGGCATCTTGAGTGTCTCTGTACATACACAACTTCCTGATGCTCAGAAAATACCTTCTAAACATCAGAGATCATTTTAACACCATATATTTGCATAATACCCCAGTACTTATGTAACATTACAATCTATTTCAGTTCGTGTCGAACACGCTTGTAGCAGTACTGGGAAGGATGTAGATCAACTGGAGTAGAGTTTAACATAATGGACAGGACAACTGAATAGGGTTTAAAATCTAATCTTACTCTCAGAAACAATGTCAACAGGATGTAGATGCACACACACATCAACAGCTAAGACACACTTCTCTGCTATGATTAGTAGAACATAACGGACGCAGGCTCAGACGCTGTGTGCCAATTCAAGGCCTGTGATGATGAAGTGGAATTAACAGTTCTGAAATTAATTGAAAGATAAAACGGCTGAAAATAGAGTACAGTAGAGAGAGAATACATAAGAAAAAATACTCCTTATGCTCCAATTCACACAGGACAAGGAGCAGGTCGCTGAGCTAAGATGCTTATGGAGAATCCATGTTAGATATGGGTTTCTGGGTAAAAACAATGATTCTGACCCAGATTATAGAAGCCAGACATTGAAAGATCATGTTGTACATTTATCTAAAGTATCCCTCTCCACCTATACTCATCTATTCATCCAGAATGAGAGCATAAGAGTGGCAGCATCCACTTCCTGTCCCGACCAAACCTCCGGCCCACTTTCACTATCAGCACTTCACAGATTGGGACACAATCCACAATCCAATTAGATTTGACATGACCATGAAAGACAATGGTTTCTATTCCCCCTCTAAAACACCCTCTACCCTCTTTTTCATTTCTCACTGTCTCCAAACACTGACGTTCACTTTGCACCCAGATTGAAGACTGAAAGTAGGTACTGTGTGGTGTGGTTGACTTGTTTATATTGCCCAAAACACCGCAAAGTATTACTACTATTGCTCAGGAGATCTGAACAAACCCCTAACCTTAAGTAATAAACTTTGGGATGTAATATGTTCTGCACTGACTGTGCTATGGACATGAGTGAGATGTTGATGCTGCAGAACTATCCCTGTGAACGGACAATAAAGAGGATTACGACTATACTGATACCTTACACTGCTTGCATGTATTACTTTTCTTAAGACTTTGCTTGGCAGAAAAATCCCACAGATTTACACTAAAAGACAGACTCTATCCATATTGAGGGTCCTCACTAACACTGAAACTTGGTGGGCTGTTGTGACCATCTGCACTGAAAAAAAAAATTGAGTCAAATCTAAATTAAGTCAAAAATACTATTTAACATCATTGAAGCAACCTAAATACTGTACCGTTTAAAAGCTTGGAGCTGGTACGCTTTTTGTTTTTGAAAGAAGTCTCATATGCTCACCAAGGCTGCATTTAATTGATTAAAAATACTGTAAAACAGCAATGTTGCGAAATCTTATTAGAAATTGTAATACCTGTTTTCAATTTAATAGATTTCCGGGCTTCAGTGTCACATGATCTTTCAGAAATAATTCTAATATGCTGCTTAGTATTTTTATGGAAACTGTGATACATTTTTTTCAGGATTCTTTGATAAATAGAAAGTTCAAAAGAACAGCATTTATTTTAAATAGAAATCTTTTGTAACATTAACAAGCGTACTTGCTGAATAAAAGTATTAACTTTTGAAAGGAATTCTTACCGACCCCAAACTTTTGAATGGTGCAGAAAACCTTTTTTATTCTACTTTCTCTCAACGTGGTTGTGGGGTGCCCTAACTAGAAGTGATATCTTCCATGTTAATCTTAAAAAACAAGATGCAGAGATAGAAAAAAAAGGAGAAAGATTCTTAAGTGCACACCCTCTTCAAACAAGCCCTTCTTATTATGAAAGATTCAGGTCACTCTCCAAAGCACATTAAGATACTGTGACAGAATGAATGAATGACGTATTTGTACATGCTCTCTGGTCTTATTAAGTGCCTGGCCTAGTCTGGCTTCCAAAGGTTTTTTTTATTTTTTTATTATTATTATTCTTTTTAATGTAGATACTTTTAATCCACTCTTTTCCCTTTGTGGCATCTTGTCCAGATATTTGGATCTTATTTTCCCAACACTAAGTCCTCTGTTGTTCCAGAGTTTTAGAACTGGAAAAGTAAAAACAGAGGACCTTCTTCAGAAAAAGTGTCAAACAGCATCCTGTAAAAGCAGAATATATATTCACAGATAATAAAATAACACTCCGTTTTCAGTCCAGGGAGTGTCTGCACACACAGAAAACTTCCCCAATATTTTTCTCTCCTTATAAACTTACAGTGTTCATAAAGTCACTGTCAGTGAGCGTTACTGTGGATGAAAACTATTGATTTTCATTCTCATGAAAGCAGTGGCTCCACCTTTCCCCCGCAACACACTGTTTGTTCTTAAATAAACCCTCTCACAGGTTCTCGCTCTCCCTCGTGGTCACTCTGTATGTCTTCAGCTGGGTTTCAACATAAGTTTGCAGCACACGTTGCAATACAGACATGAGCAGCAACAAGCTACAACATAGGTCCAGATTTCCTAACAGCTTGCACCAGCGCAAACTGTCCTTTGGCGTTAAAATAGGACTGTCAGGATTTACTAAAGACGCTGAAAAGGTGTGGACAGTTATTTTTGCACCTGACCTTATTGAATAAGCATTTTTTTCCCTTTCAGATGCAAAATATATGGGAGGAGAGTATTAAAATGAACCACACAATGCAATTTACTAACGTCTGTGCTCATCAAATTACTGGTATTTGCGCCATTATTTAACGCTCCAAAAAAGCATGTCTTAAAGCAGATGCTAATTTGCTCTGCTCTTGGTAGATCGTGTTGGTCATTATGGAAATGATCTGGCTGCGTCTGTGTTCTTTAATTTGCACATTGTCAACAAATCACCTCGCAGAAATTTCCACTCCCATTAGTGCTTTTTTGGAATTGCGCTCTAACGCTATTTTGCCGTTTAGTAAAACTGGTCCATAATCTCTAAGGGAATGGAGACTCTAGCTCTAGTGAGCTGCCTACCTAGACAGGATGTTAAAGGGATAGTTCACCTAAAAATAATGTATTCACACTCATGTTGTTCCAAACTTGCATGACTTTCTTTTTTTTCTGCAGAATTTATTATTATTTTTCTATTTTGTTCACACCATGAACACACACCCAGAGCAGTGGCACCCAATTTTTGCTGCGGTTCGGTGCTTTGCTCAAGGGTCTCACCTCAGTCGTGGTATTGAGGGTGGATGAGAGCGCTGGTCATTCACTCCCCCCACCTACAATCCCTGCTGGTACCGAGACTCAAACCCGCGACCTTTGGGTTACAAGTCTGACTCTAGCCATTAGGCCATGACTGCCTATAATGGTATCTATAAACTATAATAGTATCTCAGTGATATTAAAATAACACTGCATCAAAATATACTATTATGGACCACGACTGCCTTTAA